CTGTAGCTAGGCTTGGGGATTTGCGTCTTCCGCCTGGTTTTCCCAGGCCACCACACAATTATGTATAGATTATTCTAATTTGTTCTGATTTGGTTTAATCATCTAAAAGCTAGCATCATGAAAATGACAAAATTCAGTAATTACATCATTTGATTTTGCTATGCAATTTTTGAGAGGTTTTGCTGTTTTGCTGTTCTTAGAAGGAAAAATTTCAGAAGATCATGAAAGTTCATGTTTCAGAGAACAACATGCCTCCAAACTCTTGTCTTGATGTAACTATCAATTCCTCCTCTATAAATTAAGTGTAACCCATATTATAAGATTTCATTTTTTTATGCAATGCTAAATGAGGTTGTGTTCTTCTTTTTTAAAGTGGGTGGTTGGTGAGCACTTTGATTTGTTTGTTCCTTCCTTCGTGTCAAACAGCAATCTTCAATATCTCTCCTTTTCTTTATATTGACATTTTTTGTAACACCTCTAATCTTCAGCACTAGTACGATTAGTTGTGCTGGAAGTGCCATAAAACTCATACTAAAACTAACATCTGAGCTGCTTGCTCAAAGCAGAGAAATGATTTAGTTCTGGTTGTTGACCTGTGTTTCGGTTTGCCCCTCCCCAGCACCGCATGTCGACAATCATGAATTATGATCGGGTCATGGTGTTGGAGTACGGAGACCTCAAGGAGTTTGCACCGCCCTCTGAGCTGTTGGCAGACGTCGAGACAATTTTTCACAGTTTGGTACACGGAGCTTGTGATGCAGACCTTAAGTGAATCGGGGTTATTTTTCATCTCATAGATGCAGACCTCAGATGGTCTTTTTCATCTCATAGCTCCTGAGGAAAGTTACAGACAACTCTCTTTCCACTTCTTTGGACACAAGTTTGAGTGAGCTCATCTCTACCTGCTGACTGCAAAAGGAAGTAATGTGGCAAGTCATATATTCTGATGATGCGGTCCTCAAGACAACCCATAGCAATATGTTGAGCCAGTAGAACTTCATGTACTAGACTCTTTGTTGACTTTTTTCGTACTCAAATGAATTCATCTTGATCTGAACTCATGGGCACACATTTTTTCTTGAACTCTGATTGATTAATCTTGACTTGAACTCCTGTGAGTTCATTTGGGGTTGAAACTCTCTCTTCCCATGTTTTCATCTTAGGATTCTTGCTGACAAGTTGTTTTTGTCTCTGAGAGTCTTCTAGTGATTTCATTTTTACTCCCAGATACAATAGGATTCATCTTTACATGATGACAGTAGGATTTTGTGTAGAGCCTCGTTTCTTCCTTTATGTGATAATGGAATAGAATCATTCATCCTGACCTTCAAGCTCTATTTGAGTTTGGACCTTCAAGCTGTATTAAAGCTTGGTGGTCGAGCCTAACAACTAATGTAGAGCTCAGGCACATTCACATTTTGTTACCAGCCCCCAATCAAATGTTACGTTTTACTTTACTATTTCCTTCTGCTGGTACGGGTGGTGGGTGTTATGGGGAGAAACATTCATCGGTCAGTCACAAGTGGAGTTACTCGTAGGATGGTCAGGTCGTGAGCTCCAACGGTGTCCTTCTCAGAGTCGATCCAGTGATAAAGCAGTCTCCTTTTGTTTCTGTGATGCAAATGTTATACAAACAAAAATAAACACTTGTCTTTTTATCTGCCATTTTGATATGTAGCTCAGGAAGAAGTTTATGTGCAATTCTATTTCTTCGCTGGCACGACCCACAATGTTGTTTAGGGCACCTCTCTGTCTTCACAGATGAAGAACTTCAATGAAGGTAAACTTTTGATTATTTTGACCCCCACGAGTCCTCGTGTTCAATATTTGACAATTTGTGTTACAACGTGGTAGAATCGTGCACTTGTCAATTTTTTGGGCATATGGAGTTGTTTTAATCTTAAAGCTTGTTCATTTGTCTTGCTTTTGATGAAAGAAAAACCCATCTATCTTGAATAAAAATCAAGATACTTGAGATTGAAGGAGGTCGAGATTGCCTGGTGTTAGAGATAAAATGAATGAGAAAATGGCTGCAGAAGTTTAGTGACTTCCAAGCTTTAGAGTCCTTAGAAACTGAAAATGTTCATTTTTTATGCCTTTGGTCAACATTTTAAAGTAAAATCCACACAGAAATATGTGTTTTTAAAGGACATGAAAAGTGTTAAGCCAAAGTTTTTTAAAATCAACAAAAGTTGCCCAATGGATGAAAGTAGTCAGCTACTTCGATTTCGTTATTTTGACAAGCGCATGACTTCACCATGATGCCACACATTTTGTTTCAACTGCAACTTTTCCAGCCTCGACTGTGTAATGGTTAGGGTCTTTTCCACTGCATGCAGAAGATGCGAGTCTGATTCCTGAGTGAGGAGGTTTTTAGCGAATGTCTTCGTCTTCTGGAACTCTGTATCCGTCTCAGCCTGAAGCGATATATAGATTGTGCGGATTGGGGCTTAAAATGTTTACAATGTTTTCGACATAGTTACTTATGATCCTTCCGGATAGATGTTACGACGTTCTATTTTCCCAGTTTTTCCAGAGAGACCTGGGAGATCTATTTATATCACTGGAGTTGTTTTTGTTTATCCTTGTTAACTTCACTTTTTTTTTCCAGCTGAACTTTAGCTGAGTAACTGCTGCTAAAGTGTCACATAAACTTTCGTGTGTAATGCTCATATGTTTCACTCACTTTGTCTGCAAAGAAATGTATCTGCACAAACGTTTTCTTCATCATATCTTTAAATTGACAGGTGGACTGTTCCAAACACTTAAACTTAATGAAAGGAAGTCTGTTACTCAGAAGAAGATGGCATCCATGCATGGTACAATAGACTTTATTCTTTTTAATTTGCTTCGACTAAAAAAGGACTGCATACTCGAATTGGTATGATTTGGTCAACAATAGAGACATTTATGGGTTTTATATATATGTATAATACCGTCTCTTGGGACACAGTAATTCTCATGATGTACTTTTTCTAAAGGTTCTATCGTCAGGAGAGAATGAGAATGATCCTCAGAAAATGTTTAGAACATCTATTCGCCTATCTTCTTGAAAAGAGTTACATTTGTACTGTTTGAAATAGGAATACCCTAAGAATTCTTTTTTTCATTTATTCAAGCAAGGGTGGTGTTCTCTCTATCCATCTTTCAAGACGACCTTCCTTTTTTTATGGAAGATAAAACAAAAAACTTTCAGCAGTTGAAGTTCAGACTCTCATAGACTGACTGAGCCTGCACAGGGCAACTGCTATAGCGCACAATTATTCAAAGTGCAGTGTTCGACTTATGTTGACATTGATATCGCTGTGCAATATCAAAAACCTGCATCCTTAGTTTTTTTGTGTGTGTAATTCTAGTTTAGAACTTATTAATCTTTTCACTGCATGTGTGTGTTTGTGTTGGGAGGGAGCAGAGTAGAGAGAGATTAGAAATAGTAAATAATGCTTAAATAAAACACCATCTTTAGCATGCAAACACTGTTTTGAAGATAGAACGGTATAAGTTACCTTTGTATTGTCAGGTGCATTTGCACTCAATGTTTCTTTTTTTTTTCGTACTGAAAATCATTCAAGATGACTTAAGGAAATGAAACTAATAGGTGTGTAATTCAAAACAGCCTATGTCTGAGCTTTTGAAATTTGGTAGGACTTACGGCATTTTGATTTATATAGTTTTGTCTGTATGATGGTCTGAGAGACTTGTTTACACATGTTTGTTGACTGAGTATGGATCGATAACAACAGCAACAAGGTTGGTGGAGTCTGAACAGAACCTTGAAGTTTGTTTGAATTGCCTAGGGTTTTGTCAGAACTTTGAAGTTTGTTTGGATTATCTGTCAGAACTTTGAAGTTTGTTTGGATTATCTGGATTATCTGTCAGAACTTTGAAGTTTGTTTGGATTATCTGTCAGAACTTTGAAGTTTGTTTGGTATATCTGGGGTTTTGTCAGTTGTTTACTCACTCTGACTCTACTTTCTACTTCAATTTGTGGCGACTCTAACAGCATTAAATTGCATGTTTGTTCTATTTGTTGATTTGACCTGGTATACAGAACAGAGCAGCTGTCAGTTTCTTTCTTTGACTTTGACTATATTATAATGGTAGACCCTTTTTCTGGTTAATTTCTCTTGTTCATGCCGTGTTTTCTGTTGGAGATGGTGTTTTACAGCCTTCAAAAGTGTCTGAATTTTGCTTGTGGTACTGAGAAGTCAAGATGTTTTCATGTTACGAACCTTCTCCAATTTAGATGGAACAATAGGTTTGTGGATCCCCTTTTTTACCCAAGTTGTTATTGGTAAACAACCTCTTCACTTAACCTGTTAAATAATTTTCTTTTTAATACTGCTAGGATTTACTCTTGAGCATTTATGTGATATTAGGAGTCAGTTTAGTATTAGTGTAAACATTTTTTGTTGTGTTTTTTTTCACCTTAAATTTAGCATAATTTTTCTAACATTTGTCTGGTTCTTGTTTTTAAGGACCTCAGTATTGTACGTGAAATAGGGTGGCCTAGGTTTTATTTCCTTATATTGCATGACAATCTTAATCTTGAATCTACAATACAATCCGATTCTCATGGCAGGTGATGCCGAGAATGAGGTAAAAACCAGTTACATGTAGCCTACCGTCAAACTTGTGAAAGCGGCCTCGCATTAGCGAGAAAAGAGGCATTTTACTCAATGTCATTCTAATGTTTAAAAAAAACGCAAGGGGGGTGGGGAATGGGAAGTCACCTTCTGTACAAGTAATTGTTTGACGCAGGTGGCTGTCAGAGCAGGTTTAGCTGCATAAATCTTTAGTTAAATTCAAACAGGACAACACAATTACCACAACTGTTTTGCAGTGATTGTGTTTGTAGTCAACTTTTTATCGTGAAATCCGGGGAGAGAAAGTGGTCTGTGTGTTGCCTGTTGTCTTCCTGTGATCTGTTGATTAAATAGGAATGGTGGTGGGGAATGGGAAGTTGCCGTTTGTCCTTGTAGGCTCCCCTATATTTTGAAAGGGGGGGGGATGGTTTGCTGTGTGTCTTTGTGTTGTTGGACTGGGTATGGGTTAGGCAGAATATTATTTGTCAAGTGTGATGCTGAAAATTCTCTGACTTTCACCAGAGGAGTGGATTTTGTGGACAGGTCTAGAAATCCGGATTTTGAACATTGACCTCAATTTACACTTTGTATAAGAAATAGTATTGATTCAAGATACGTGAAATAATAGAACCCATCATTATGAGTCCCTGCATGTATGTTTCCCCGAGGTCCAAAAAGTTCAGGATTTTTCTTTTATTCTTCAGCCAGTTGGCACCTCTTTTTCACAAAGATTGTGCTATTTGATGGGTGCCACTGATGGTTCTCACTTCCCGTGAACTTCTTTTTTTTTTCTTTTGTATGTGCTATCTTGCTTTGACCGTAGCAATAATTAACTTCTTGTATTGTGTTTGTAATTGTGTCACACAAGCAGAGAAAGACTTAAGTGTAACTGGCTTTGAGAAAGGGTACCATGCGAGCTTCTCATCTATCTGTCTTACACCTTTTGCTGTGCAGTGAAGTGGATACTGGTACATCTATTTCTCCTTCTGTTGGTTTTGTTTTTGATTTACTTTCCAGCTTCTGCATGATCTTGAGGTATCTGCAGCATGATAAAAGCTCAACTCTTGCTCAACTTTCAGTGTTGGCCCACTCGGATTGCACTTCTCACTTTTGAATGTTTTTGGCACCCGACACTTCTTTCGTATTTTAAAAAATTTACTTTCTCCCAATGAGAAAGGGCTCTACTAGCCAGAGTTTAATTTTTTTTATTTTGCTCAAACAGAATATTTTGTTGGCTGTAGTTATTGAAGTGCATTCCTGCCCTCTTTTTCTAGCAATACTATGAGCTTCTATACTATTATGTGAATGTGGTTTTGTATCAATTCTGAAAAGTAGTTTTGGTTTTGATATACACAGCCTGATTCCATCTGCTCCATACTGTTCTCTGTAGTGCAACTGTAATGCTCTTCACCTTTCGCTCAAGAAGTATTTGTACAATTCCTGCTTTAGAATGATATATAGTTTACTGAGCACAGTATTCCCTCCCCATAACACTCTTCACATTTCGCAGAATTGGTTCATTGCGAGTTTTTAAAATTTCAAGCTGAAAATTGAACACTGTTTACAGTGACCCAACCAATCAGAGCATCTTGTTCAGCTCTTTTTTATATGATTTTTTAAAATTGAAAATACCACTGTTCTCTCATACTCCAAATTTAGAGGCTGCTTATAAGAGTGGGTGAGAGATTTGTAAGAGTCCTTACCCAAAAGAAAAAAAAAAGTATGTGAATTTTTAAAATGCGTTTTTGTTCAAAGGTTTTGGGAATTGATGTCCATCTCGAGCTGTAGTTTTGTGTCATTTGTATTTTCAATGGGGGGTTTTTTCTGATTGTTTTGTGTCTTTTGTATTTTCAATGTATATTGTGTTGGGGGGGTTTTTTTCTGTTGTCAATAGTTCCTTGTCAGCTTTGTCTGAGTCATAGAGGGCGGATGTTTCGTTTCACTTGTTGTTTTCTGCCCTCCGTTCTATTGAGATGTACAGAATTTACTTTTGCTTTGACAATCAAACAACTGAAATAGTCAAGTAATATTATTCACTATTTTCACATCTATTTTTGTGTGGTGATGTACAGTATTGTCTGTTTTAAAAAATGGTAGTCACAGGAAGTACAAGTCAAGTTTTCTGACTGACTTTCTGTTGTGCTGATTTATATTCTGATGTTTAAATGTGTGTTATGGTGTGTGTGTGTGTGCATGTGTGTTTGTGCATGTTTGTGAGAAAGAGAGAGATTAGGGGGGGGGGAGGGGGCAAGAGAGAATGAGAGAAATAGGGAGTAAAGACTCTAAGGATAAAGGGATACTCTGATAGACCAACAACATTAAACCGAGAGATAAGTCTTTCCACTAGGACGTTAT